TCAGATTTGTTTAGAGTCATCACTGGGGCTTTTTCTTGCTGCTGGTTTCTTTGTTGGTCTGCTCTTGCACCGGCATGACCAGGGCCAGGGCTTTCTTGAAAGCTGGAATGACATGGTCCACTGGGGTGAGTGGTGTCCCCCAGGTCCCATACTCACTCAAGACACAGCTATCAACACCTGTAGTTGCCCAGGAGCCAACATAACCCCATCCCCAGTCCCCAGTCCCGAAACCCCACACCCCTTTGCAGCCAGCCGTACCTTGCAGGTAACTGGAAAGCAGGTCTTTGGTGAATTCTACTTTGTTCTCAATTTTCTCCAGGTCGTCGTCTGGCTGCTTGGCCATCTCGGGAGAGCTGAAGTCAGGTTGGCCCTTGCTGCGACACAGAGGGAAAAAAGACCCAGCCAGTTCATTAACTGCCAGTCAACTTAGCGAGTTATTCCTGGGGCCCTTCCTCAGGTAAGGAACGCTAATGCCTACAAAAGATGCCCACATCCTGCCTCCTGATCCTCACCCAGGAGGTCCCCGAGCTTTGTCTACATCATAAAGCTGAGTGTCAGCTTTATTTTTTGACCCTGTATGCTACCAAATCCTGCCAGCCACCCCCTCCACCATCTGCCCCCAACGCAAAATGGCTCTGGTATTTCCCGTCAGCCCCACTACAATCCCTATGCCACAGCCACACCTCATTCTTGAACTATCCCAACAACCTCCTACCTGCTCTCCCTGCATCCACACCTGCACCCTTTCTCCAAGTACCTGCACCAGGCTCCAGTGAAATACCTCATGCTGCTGTGACCATGTCACTGCTCTGCTCAACTCCCTCCAAAGATTCCCTGCCCTCATCAGGAAGCCGGATATGAGTTCTGGGAGGGCAGTTAGCACCAGGACCTGGCTGGCCTGTGCCCAACTCCTTCTTCTTGTCCTTTCAAATGCTCATTCCCCTGAGACATTTGAAAGGGAGGACCGGCCCAAGCAATTTTCTTGCACCTTCATCCTCAGCTATAAGTGTCCCATGACCTGCATTTCCACTCGGCCCAGCATTATTAGGATGTGTTTGCATGCCTCTTGGTGGCATAGATCACAGTAGCTGCCACTGACTGCATGCCAGATCCTGCACTCAGTCACTTAACCCTCAAGTGCAAACATCAGCCCACTTTAGAGACAAGCCAATAGAGGCCCAGTGAGGCTCAAAGACTTTCCGAAGGAATTCAGCTAATGAATACAAGCACTAGAATTTGATCTCAATTCTGTCTGTAGGGCTTATCAGCCTACATAGACATGTTGAGGGCTTTGGTCTCTACACGGGAGCTGGCATCTACAGTGTGAACCTTCATGGAATGAACAAGAGCAGGTCTCTGCACATCACCCTCCAAACTCAGGCAGGGATTGGAACAGAACTTCCCCCTGGCCAGGGGGCTGTAGGAAGTCCCGTGTGGGGTGGAGATGATCTTCCCTAGAACTGCCAGATTGGGAGGTGGAGAATTAAAACTGCAGTTGAGAGTAGGTGTCCTGGTAGTCTGGTGGGTTGTATGCTGGGCTTCTAACCACAAAGCCATCAGCTGGAAACCGCTGGCTGGAAAAAGATGAGGCTTTCTACTCATGAAGAGTTACAG